GCTCTTAACTGTCCTATTTATAGCCGAGTAACAAATCGTAATACCAGTTCGATAGCTCACTGCTAGTGCACATGCATAGGTCTATAGAAATATTGCTCCTTCTTCAGGGAACTGTTTCAAATCCACAAGGAAGGATTGTTATTTTGATTTTTAGCGACTCTTCGTTTAATCCATAATTAGGTCCTTTCAATCCTGTATTTAGTAGTAGAAGTCTTTATTAAGAAATCAGTCACAACATACGTTGTTATCGGTCTTATCAAAAAGGTGTAAGAATCGAGTCATATTTCAGTGCAGTGGATGTATCCTACTCTAAGAGACTATGATCTAAGAAAACATATTCCCGTACCCCGTGGTAAACTTTTCAAGCTGTTTTGAGCTTCAGGTGTCTTTCTAAAAAATAGCTTCGTAGTATGACCACGCGCTAAAATTAGATTTATGGTGGCTCAAGACAGTTTCCAGCGTTTAGATCCCGTGCCGTTTTTGAACTATACGCCCCTAAAGTTGTAATTAAGGGTGTTTTTAGCAGGTCATACTGTTGCTATGGTAACCCATTGTGTCACGAAGATGATAACAACGTGTTCACTGATGATTGGGCAGTTTTTTGACACCATGATTGTAGCATCAACTGATAAAGAGTGGTTATAACGACTCATCAAAATCTAACTGCTGGAAACTGTTTTGAGTCACCTTAAAAGATATCATTGGAAGAGGCCCATGTAGGGAGAATGTGTTCTCTTCGATCATAGTCTCTTGCTGAGACTCAGCGACAGCTCATCTTACCTTGTAAGTAGTGAAGTGGCGGTTCTGGATATGATGTCACTAGTTTACCGCAGAAAAACTTGCTTCCAAAGAATTCTGTTTTCATGAAAGTACCATATCTTGGGATGCCTATTTCGTACGGCGAAAACTCGAGCCATTCTGTAAGTAAAAGTCGAAATTTTAAAATGTTTCCCGGTTGGTCTAATGCATAGATTAAAATCATAGAATAAAAATTTTATGACGAATTTTATTTGCTGCATCTTTTCGCTAACTCCCAAGTAAAGTCGGC